AAGTAATGGTATTTCAATGGTGGCCACAGAGCGACCTCCCATTTATGCTACACCTCTCATGTCTCTTCACATAGTCAGATCAGAGTCAAGCTCAACAGGGTCTTCTTTCCCCGCTGATTTCTCCAAGCAGGTACTCTTGGCTGTGGTTTCGCTATATAATAGATAGGGACAGTGGGAATCTCGTTAATCCATTCATGTGTGTCACTCATTAGATGAAGAGGCATTTGGGTATTTTGTTTTAAACAACAAGATCTCATAGAGAAGAGTTGTTTTTCTTCAGGTCTCTACTCTTTGCTCCTGAGTAAGCATATACCAAATTTTAGCTTTTACAAACTGATTTATACATAGCATGTACAATGCTTTACTATTCATTTCTTGAAATGGATTGTAAAAATGTCTTATATTTCCATACGGTCTTTTCCATTGCATAAAGTAGAAGTAATTGGATGTATGAATTAGAGAATCCTAATTCCTGAATGTCATAAATAATGTTTAATGAAATTCCTCCTCTACATCCCAAGGACACTACCATAAAACTTACTTTCTTATTGGGCCACTGTCTATGGCACCATTGTTTAATATATTCTTTAGTACAATATTAATTAATTAAAGAGTCAGCTATTTCAATAATATAGACCCTATTGTCATCCACAACTGCTATATCAGGTTTATATAATTCACCCAAGCTAGAGACGTATATATGAGGTTATTGAATAATTTTATTATATCTTCTAGATTTCGTCAATATATCTCTAAGTTTCTTGCAGACGGAATCATGACAAACAATTCTGGCATGATGAGTTAAACTGCATCGACTGCTAATATGTGCAAGTGTTTCAACTCTGTGGTTACAACCAGCTCTACAGCACTTATTGAAATTCACTTTACCTTTGTATATATTACTCCTAGTAAAAAGAACACCATATCTTAATTTTAACAATGAGATATAGGTGGATCCAGAAAATACTTTAGTTCCTGCATTCAGTAATTCGTTAACAGGTAATCGCAAAACTTCTTGTAATCCTTTACGATTTACATCTCCACAGAGTTTTTGTCTCCATTTTCTTCTAATGGAAAGCTTGAACGCTAAATCAGGTTGTTTCCTAATATTGTCAGTTGAAAGAAATGCATTAGTGATTGGCGTATTCCATCTTTCCAAATTCTTTAAATGTCTGAGAATTATATATAGAATAACATCTCTAAAATTCTGTATTCCCAGACCACCTTCTGTCACCTTAGCATAAAAGGCATGATTTGATACATAATGTGGTACCTTATATATGCTTTTTATATTTTTCCTAGCAATTCTGTCTATCACATTTAATGTCTTTGCTGTAATTCGAGACAAAAAGAATACATGCTGAAGACGGAGAAGATAACATTTCATGATCAATAATATATTTTGTTGAGGTTTGAAATTTGGTTAAGTGATTTTCCTCAAATCTCCTATTATATCCCTCATGTACATCTTTGGATCAGCCTTCCCCAAAAATGAAAACCTAATACCAAGGTAGGTCATAAATTCATTTGGCTGTAATTGTTTGATTGTTATGTTATTAATATCAAACTGACTCTCTGTCAATGTTTTTATCCTTGTGGTTTTCCTTTCTGGACAAAGTGGGAGAGCAACGCATTTATGTGGGTTGATTTGAAAATCTCTTTGGGTGAAAAAGGTTGATGCAGTTCGTAGATGATTTATCATACCAGCTCTACTCCTGGTCATAAGGATAATGTCGTCTGCAAAACCAAACGTAGACAATATTTCTTGCTCAATATCAATACCTACTTGTGGGTTAACTTTACATAGTAGTTCATCCATAATGATATTAAACAATTTTGGAGATAAAGGATCACCCTGACGAACTTCCCTCTTTTTTGGAACGTCATTAATAATGATGGACTTAAGTTTAATATTAGTATAACAGTCATTATAAAAGTTTATAATGTATGGCCTCACATCCGAGTTAATATTAAATCTTCTCAACGCTGGTTCAATAGAACTGTGAGAAACAGAACAAAAGCTTTGGCCAAATCCAAAGATAAAATGTTTTTTTTTTACTTTGCCTACTAGAACGAATAGCATGTTCTAAAAGTGATGTATGGACTGAAGTTCCATCACACCGTTGGAATGCCATTTGTGCTGCATTCAGCTTAACTAATTTCTGAATTCTTGTCGCTGAAAGTCCATGGAAAATTCTTATTACAATTCACATAATAGTTATGGGTCTTCAATTCTTAGCTTGTTTGAGATCTCCCTTTTTTCGGTATTAATGTGGTAGAACAACGTTTCATACATAGAGGTAAATTCTTGTTCCATAGCAAACTGTTAAATAGAATACAAATAATATTAAGTGGAATAACCTTCAAGCCCTTAGCAGAAATTCCATCAACTCCTGGAGATTTATTAGATACTCCTTTCACTAAAGTCCTGGTTTCTGCCAGAGAAATAATTCTGTAGCTATCATCATTAAGGGGAGACTTAAATTCTTCTATAAGATAATTATCTTCTGAAACAGAAGATGCAAATAACTTAACGTAAGTATCCTCGACATCTTTCTTCGTGGGTATGTCACTCAATTTCTTCTGACATAAAATCTCATCCAGGGCTCGTTTCGTATTATGACAATACATATTCTGTAGGAATTTATAGTTTTTCTTAACTCTGTTATATCTGTTATTCCCGTGTTTCCTTCTTCTTTCGCCAGAACGTTCAATAATTCGAGAACCATTTACATTATTACTACTGTTCTGATAAATAATACGCAGTATAACATGGATTACATCAATGAGCTGATAATTCCTACTAAGTATTAACTGAGCAACCTCTTCCCATACAGAGGAGTAGTCCATGTTATTAACATTAGAAGAAAGTAGCTCATCACAAGAAATATTTCTTTCTGTCGTCAAATTACTTGTATTCGAATGAGATAACACAATATCTTCTTGAATAAGAGAAAGGCCTAATAGTTGTCTCTTTCGCTCAATGACATCTTCTTTATGCTGCAACCTATGTCTTTGACCCTTAATAGCTTCCACAGTTCGACCAGGAAACTTAGCAGCTAGAATATTATTCATAGTTGGAGTGTCAGGAGATAATTTGGCTTCTTCTTCATCAGCCAGCAGTCTTCTCTCTTCAACTGACCATCTAGCTCTCGTTCGGTAGGTGACCAATTCTTCATCATATACTACTGGATGAAGAAGTCTCCAATGCTGGGATAATCCTAGTTTAGTAGTAAAACGTCTAGTACATTCTTCACATGCATAAGGTTCTCTAGATTCTGAAATATTAGAGGATGTGGAACATCTACTATAACGACTTGCTACGCTGAAAATAATATTCCATTCCTTTTTACATTTCATGTATACATATATATATAAAAGGGTATAATCTCTATGAGAAGAACATACATGCTTCTGAAATTCAACATGCTCTACAAATAGCCGAGTACATACACAGGTGTTTGAGTTTGCCTTGTAAAAGTGTTAAATTAATTTGGCTAGTCCAGGTCCTTGGTCCATGCCGAGTCGTAAACCAGGTTGTCGATAATATTGAGACCTATTTTCTACACTTTGGGCATCAAAATGAGTTAGAAAGGGTGCTAATCCTTATAACCCTGCAGCCCCATCAATAACAAATTACCACTTAAAACGGTGATGGAGCCTAGCTAGGTGCACCAGCCTAGTAACTGGTCGTCTGCCTGTGTTGGTTTATCTTCCCTACCTAGGGCAGTTAAGGTACTCGCGACTCTCACCACGAGAAGGTAGAGGTAGGATTTGGAATCATGAACAGGTCGGTTCCATCCCATTCTCAAGAGAATAGTTTGGGTCTTCTTCCTGAATATCAATCATTCCATTAAGAGAGTCATAGTTACTCCTGCCGTTTACTTGTGCTTGGTTAAATTTCTTCATGTTGACATTCAGAGCACTGGGCAGAAAGCACATTGTGTCCACACCATCCAACGGCCATCATAATGCTTTGTTTAATTAGACAGTCGGATTCCCCTGGTCCGTGCCAGTTCTGAGTCGGATGTTAGTTGCTGGCTGAAATGGTCGCGCCAAGCAGGAACCCGGGACAACACACAGCTGAGGCATTTCATGGGTAGGTCCCGACGCTTGTCTGGCTAGACCGAGTCATCAAAGGCTAGCCTCACCCAGTCCTGGTGCAGTACCACACCCGTGGCAGACTTCAGCCTGACCAGACCCAGCCATCATAGCCAATCCTTGTCCCGAGGTTACAGATCCATTTTGCCGACTTTCCCTACCTACATTGTTCTATCGAGTAGAGGCTGTTCACCTTGGAGACCTGCTGCGGTCATGGGTAGGTTCCAGCACGAAAATCTCACTCTCTCCCTCGGATTTTCAAGGGCCAATGGGAGTGCTCCAGACACAGCAAGAGCCACGGGGCTTTATGGGTACATAATCCCTATCTTTAGGCGAGCCGATTCCTTACAAAGAAAAGACAATTCTTCCCAAGACTCCCATCGACGTTTCCGAGATTGGTTGCATTACCGCATTTGACCCGAAGGTCGATCTCCGTGTTAGGATTCGGGAATATTAACATGATTCCCTTTCAGTCAGTCGCGGGACCTGCAGCTGATGGATGGGTCCCGATTATGAACGGATTTTTCCTATTCCTTAGAACCGACTGACCCATGTTCAACTGCTGCTCACATGGAACCCTTCTCCACTTCAGTCCTCAAGGTTCTCACTTGAGTATTTGCTACTACCACCAAGAACTGCACCCGCCACGGCTCCAGGTGGGTGCACGCTCGGCATCTCAAATGCTCACTGCTTCGACCCTCCTACTCACCGCGGCATAAATCTCTCTATCTTTGCCACAGTGGCCGGGTGTAGGCTGAGAATAGGTTGAGGTCGTTTCGGCCCCAAGGCGTCTAATCATTTGCTTTACCAGATGAGACTGATTTACCTTCGAGCACCAACTACTAGATAGTTCGATTAGTCTTTCGACCCTATTTCAAGGTCTGACAATTTATTTTTACATCAGAATCGCTGCAGACCTCCACCAGAGTTTCCTCTGGCTTCGTCCTGCCCAGTCATAGTTCACCATCTTTAGGGTCCCAGTGTGTATGCTCTCACTCTACCCAGCCAACGTAGTGGCAGGGATGGGCCATTGGTACACCCCACCTCAGAAGGCAAGCATCCCAATGCATTCGGAGGCCTGGCGACCTTCACTTTCATTGCATCTTTGGGTCTGTGCAAAACCCAATGACTTGCACTCATATTAGACTCCTTGGTCCGTGTTTCAAGAAGGGTCCGGTGGGTGACCAACCTACTCGTCGCCAACTGCAAGCACCTCCTCGTGGAAGCTCTGCCAGTCCATTGCTGTGGTTTTGAGAAGGGAAAAAGTGAAGCCCTTCATGAAGTTACTACCACTGATGTGACTATTACCGATAATAGGACATTTTCTGATGGAGCAGAAGCCAATGATATGGAGACCAGTATGGAAGAAGATACGTCCCATAAAATTAAGAGACTTTGTTGAATTTTAATTTTGTGTTTGTAAATTCTGTCCATTTAATTAAGATATTGTTAATTATCTATTGGTTTAATGTAAGTGGCTATTGTTCGGGATGAACAATACTAAGGAAGGGGCAGTGTTACAACAGTAGAAGTCACGCGATGCTGGAGTGCTAGAAGGATCATGTCTCTTCCTGGAACTCTAGTCTTTTCTATGCGCCCTCTATTTTAGTATATAAGCAGGCAAATAAAGCGAGATAATTAATTGAATTGCA